AGAACAACAACACAATAACAAGGCTTCTCAGTGGTCGCTCCCCATTTATGGAATGCTATCTCCAGGGAGGCACACCTGGCATCATCGTTCGTTACCTATTGTTGTGAGGTGTGTTTTTTTTGGGGGGGGCTGTATGTCTGAGTCCCTGAGTCCCTTCTAATTCCTGAATCCAACCAGGATCCAATTACTGTAATAGCCAGACAAGTTTCTTGGTAATGGCCCCCTAAGTATGGGTTGTTAGGGTATCAAAGAAAGTGGTTGTGCCAGAGGATAAATGGGTGGGTCTCCCTGCTAGTTAGAATGACAAAACCAGAGCTGTGTGTGTCAGATGGAAGCAGGCTGGACAGCTGAGACAGAGAGCCATGCCTGATCTCTGCTGGGATCCAAGTCTGTGGCCATGGGAGAAGTCAGACCTTCTTGGCATGTTAATGCTGTGAGCCCCTCCACTGTATTCTCAGGTTGCATATAAAAGGTAAAGGTAAAGGGACCCCTGACCATTAGGTCCAGTTGTGACCGACACTGGGGTTGCGGCGCTCATCTCACTTTATTGGCTGAGAGAGCTGGTACAGCTTCCAGGTCATGTGGCCAGCATGACTAAGCCGCTTCTGGCGAACCAGAGCAGCGCACGGAAACGGCGTTTACCTTCCCGCCAGAGCGGTACCTATTTATCTACTTGCACTTTGAGGTGCTTTTGAACTGCTAGGTTGGCAGGAGCAGGGACTGAGCAACGGGAGCTCACTCCGTTGCGGGGATTCGAACTGACGACCTTCTGCTCAGCAACTCCTAGGCTCTGTGGTGTAACCCACAGTGCCACCTGCGTCCCACACCAGGTTGCATATATGTGTCAATAATCCAGCTCCGAGGGCCTTCTGGCAGTTCCCTCACTGCGAGAAGTGAAGCTACAGGGAACCAGGCAGAGGGCCTTCTCAGTAGTGGCGTCCGCCCTGTGGAACGCCCTCCCACCAGATGCCAAGGAAATAAACAACCATCTGACTCTTAGAAGACAACTGAAGGCAGCCCTGTTTAGGGAAGTTTTTAATGTTTCATATTTTATAGCTTTATTATTATTATTATTATTATTATTATTATTATTATTATTATTACTAATGTTCTGTTGGGAGCCATCCAGAGTGGCTGGGGAAACCCAGTCAGATGGGCGGGGTATTATTATCATCATTTCATCATCATCATCATCATCATCATCATCACCATCATCATCAATAAACCATATACCATAAAGACACCACAGTCTCCACTGTCCCTCATTCCAAGGAAACCTAACCCTGGGTAAGTGCCTGGGACCCCTGGAATCTTGCACCGCTCAGAGATTAAGGTAGCATGCACCATTCTCTTTCCCATTTCCTTTCTGCCAGGCCTTTGACCTTTCATTATCTGTGGCTTCTTTCAGTGGGTGGGATGCTTTAGGCCTGCCTTCTTATCAATATGAATGTACTTTTAGCTTTTATTCTGTTTTAGTTTTATGTTCAATGCATGTACTATTTTTTTGTAAGTCGCTGCAAACTACTTTTTGTAATAATAATAATAATAATAATAATAATAATAATAATAATAATAAAATAATAATGTGCTGCAGTGGGACCAAAGAGAACTAAGTTCAGAGTCTCACTTAGTCATGTTGCTCTTTGGATGACCTTAAGCATCAATCACTCAGCATGACAAAAACAAGGCAAGAAGAAAGGAGATGCTGACTAAACATCAGAAAAAACTTTCTGACAGGAAGAGCTGTTCGACAGTGGTTGGGGTCTCTCTGACGAAGAGCTGTTCGACAGGAGGTTGGGGTCTCGTCTTCCTTGAAGGACTTTAAGCAGAGGTTGTATGGGCATCTGTCATGGATGTTTTAGCTGAGATTCTTACACTTACACTGTGGGGGGTGGACTAGAGGGGGACCCCAACTCTATGGTTCTATGAACTCTATGTACATTGCTGTGGGTTCCTTAGATAAAGATTTCCTAGATGTTCCTGGGGAGATCCCAGAAAGTGATGTGGATGGATGGTGGTCTCACATACTGTACTTCTTAATGCCCAATTTGGGTGCAACACACACTGATCTTCCTTGCCCACAGTTGTGCATCCTGTGGCAGCATCCAGGTTAGATTACCATTGATGTGCTTTACGTGTGGGTGACATCCTATAGTTTGCCTCAGCGCTCTCCCTCCATCCCACAAAATAAAAGGTGAGAAATAACTGGAAATCAAATAAGTCCAAATACTTAGGGCCAGCACACTGGACCATCCTGTTCCTGGTTCTTGGGTTTTCATTCTGCCCATAGTAACCACTTCCTGTTCATGATTAACCGATTGTCGGACTTGCTCTTCATGACCAGAATTGTCTTATCCCCTTTCCCCGGCACCACTCAACATACATTTGAAGAGATTTGCAGACAGGGGTCAGATATTGCAGACCGTGCCTGTCAGATAACATGTTTGCCATAAGAGACCTTCCTCCTCTTGCCCCCGATCCCAAGCTGCGGGAGCTTATCTCGCATCCTTCTGAACCTTCCCGAAAGATGGTGTCCAACCATCTACCTCCAACAAATTATTCCCTTGTCTGAATTGTGTTCGGTGCTGAATGAAGTGTACCGAGGTCGGTCCTAAATTGCCTATTATTTCCTCTCCCATATTTTATGCACAGTTATCAGTCTCTCTTCCAGTTGCCTTTTCTGTAAGCCCCGCGTATTACGTTTCCTTAATCTCCCTCTGCAGGTCATGGCCTCCAATCCTTTAATCATCTTTGTTGCCCTCCACTGGATTCTCTTTAATTTATCAATGTCTTTTCGTTAATGAAAGACACAGAGAAAAGAAAGAGAATGGAATGTACAACTTGTTCCGCTGTAGCGATGCCTGTTTCTAGGGAAGGGAGAAAAAGAGAAAGAGAAAAGAGGGAGGGATGTCGAACACATGCGGTGGAATAAAGGATAAACATGTCAGAAGGGCAACATGTGGATTAATGAAGGCATTGTAAATGCATAAGAAATGGCTAGAAAGGAAAAAAAGATTACAATTCTATGTATTTTCTAGGGAATGACTGCTGTTTCTAGCACTATGATTTTTGGACAAGGGATGACTCTTGTAGGTTAAGAATAGATCTTCATGTACATTCAAAAGCACTTTCCCATTTTATTTTACTTTAAAAATGAGAAATTAAGCCCAGCCCCTTGCTAGACTTCTGAACTGCAAACAGTGTAATGGCTAGAGTAGAGGTGGGAAACATGTAGCTCTCAAAATGTGGTAGCAGCTAGATAGCTCAGCCGGTTAGAGCGTGGTGCTGATAATGCCAAGGTTGCAGGTTCGATCCCTGCGCGGGACAGCTGCTTCATTGTCATGGTCCCTTTGAATTCTACAATTCTATGATTCTATGACCATCACTCTTATCATCCCTGACCATTGGCCATGCTGGCTGGGGCTGATGGGAGCTGGAGTCTAACAACATCTGGAGGGTGACTGGTTTATTTGCTGGACTGGGACCTGGGAAACCAGGGTTCAAATCCCTACTCAGCCATGAAGCTTATTGGGTGACCTTGGACCAGTCAGAGCCTCTCAGCCTAACCTACCTCACAGGGTTGTTGTGAGGATAAAATGGGGAAGAGAAGGGGAAGAGTGTGTGAGTGCCACCTTGAGCTCCTTGGAAGAAATATGAGATAGAAATGTAGTAATAAACAAATGATCTACCTAGAAAATGCTTTGTGGTTCACAGGTAGTTGAGTGGCCTAAGCATAGGTGTAGATTATTTAGTGCATGAAAATGAAAATGAAAATGCAGGAGTTGTTTCACTTGAAAAAGCAATCATGAGCGTGAGATCCTCTAGAACAAAGGTAGGAAATCTGTGTCTTTCCAAATGTTAACAGAATACAACTCCTACCACCCCTCACCATTAGCTATGCTGGCTGGTAACTAGGAGTCCAGCAACATCTGGAGGGAGACATAGGATCCCAAACACTGATCTACAAATTCCACTTGGACTGCTGAATGGAACGTTCTAATCATTAACATCTCACCGACTGCAGTAATTTCCATTTTTTAATGAAAACGATCGATCAATCCACAATTCTGCCTTTCTTCAGAATATAGCTGTACTCTGTTGGTTCTGCTCTTTCCAAAATTACTAATTTACTCAGGCACAATATTCCCTCCCCAACTGAGTGTGCCTCAGCCGACCACATGGGAACATTGGTTTCCAGGATCCTTGAGTCACCCCTCTCTGCCCACTGCTTATGTCATCATGGACTTCTGAGGCCCATTCTGTACATATAGTGGAATCAAAGGGTCATACCTTAACTGGACCTCCTTACTTCAATCTGCCAGTTGGAGTTTGTTATGTCTTAAGGCTCATCTGAAAGACTGGGGTTGCTCACAGACATCCTGCTTACTGAGCAATCACCCTTATCTGTTTGCCCAAAGTTTAAGGGTGGTGAAACATCCAGTTGTTTATTGAGTATTCATTCTGATCTGTTTGCAAGGGAGGTGCCACAGTGTTGCATCAAAGCAATTCTTGCCCACACAAATGCCAGTGCAGTTTTGTGCCACTTTCCTTATTCTCTGTGGCAGCCCCAGAATTGTGGGATGCCCTCCCCATAGAGGTATCTAACTTTTTCACCATACACTTGAGATGTCTGTTTGCAGGGCACACCCTATTCCGCTGATTGTGATCTGCTTTAACTGTTTCCAATTTTAATTTGTTGTAACCTGGCTATGGCACTTGCTGGTAAAGGGTGGGTAGTAGCAATAATAATAATAATAATAATAATAATAATAGTGTCCTCCCCTGTTATTAGACTCAAACCTATAGGATTCTAAGGCATGTTGCTTCTGAGAATGGAAACTTTGTTCAGCTGCCATCACTAATAACAAGCGATAGAGCTGCCCTCCATATTGTACCAAGCTTGGGTGAGGAAAGATGGGGTAGATGTGGAAACCTTCTGCAATGTCAGTTCCCAGCTTTTGTACCACCCCCTCCGGGCTCCATTACCAGAGCCACCTTACCCTGTAGTAATCGGTGCTGTAGACGTCTCTGGACATCCCAAAGTCTCCTATCTTCACCAGCAGGTTAGCTCCAACCAAGCAGTTCCTCGTGGCCAGGTCTCTGTGTACAAAGTGCTGGGAGGCGAGGTAAACCATCCCTGAAGCGATCTGGCTGGCGATGTGGAGCATTTGAGAAAGGCCCAGCTCCCCTTTCGCATGCCGAGGCTGCCCATCCACAAGGATCATTGCATCCGGGCCGTGTGCCCTGTGGAAGGCAAGAGAGGGTAATGTTTAGGTGGAGTCTCTCCTTTTTTTGCAAGTTGAATCCCTTGGTTTGGGCTCTACCTGCCAGAGCAGCAGAAAACAAGCTTGCTCCATCTTCCATGTGGCAGCATTTGAAGAAGGCTATACAGTGGTACCTACAGGTTACATACGCTTCAGGTTACATACACTTCAGGTTACAGAGAACAGAAATTGGGTGGCAGCAGCAGTGGGAGGCCCCATTAGCTAAAGTGGTGCTTCAGGTTAAGAACAGTTTCAGGTTAAGAACGGACCTCCGGAATGAATTAAGTACATAACAGAGGTACCACTGTATATCCACTCATATCAACTCTTGGTCTTCTCTTCTCCAGGCTAAACATATTGTGATATGGAGAATGGAGAATTAACAGAGGTTCGAGAAACTTACTATCCACATTAAACGATAGTATGCATGAGCCCTCGGTCAGTTTTCACCATCCACCCCGGTTCATTGCCAGCATGGAAGCAGAACGGTGAAAATGCCTAATATGTGGCAAAGGAAGGGCAATGTTGCTGTGGCCTCCTGTCTCTTTTATTAGATACAACAGCAACATTTCCTTTGTGGTTCTCTCTTCTGGCTTCGTTTGAAATTAATCCTGGCATTTCACCCTCTTCAACAACAGCAGCAGCAGCAGCCCTGCAGAGAGCGAACAAATTGAAAAATGCCTGTGCGCAGATGGATCCCTCCATCTTGACATGGAGCTAAACTCTGAGAGCAACAAGTTCTGACTTGCTTGCATCCTGGAATTTCTCTCTCTGATAAGCTTGAGGCATATGCGGAGGGGAGGGGGGAAGGAAGACAGATATGACATGGCAGCGACAGATTTCTGCCAAAATATTTCTGGTTCAGCTGTTGAAGCTTTTCACGGCTCTCCTTCAGATGCTTTCCAAAATGCATTGTCGAAAGAGAGGGAGATGACAGGGCTCCACAAATGGGGATGTGACAGGTCAAGTGGCTTGCATTGTTAGGAGTCACCTATAGTGGAAAAGGCGAGTGCTGAGGACAGGTCTAGGGCTGACACAGGGATGCTTGAGGAATTTGATCCTTGTGGATTATGGTGTGAGCCGACCTGGACCACATTAACACCATACATTTATAGTACTATGATTCCACTTTAATCTCTCATGACTCCCCCTAAATAACTCTGCGAGCTGTAGTTTGTAAAGGATGCTAGGAGGTGATAGGAGACCCTTATTCCCCTCACAGAACTACAGTTCCCAGAGTTCTCTGGGAAGAGGAATTGATTGCTAAACACACCAACTAAACCAGTGTTTTCCAAACTTGGGTCTCCAGCTGTTTTTAACTACAATTCCTATCATCCCTGACGGCTGGTCCTGCTAACTAGGAATGATGGGAGTTGTAGTCAAGGAACAGCTAGATACCCAAGTTTGCGAAACACTGTTCCTTTTCTGGTTTCCCCCCCTGTTCCTTCTTTCTTTAGTTTCTTTTTTTTATTTCATGCAGAATTGTTTATTTTATTGTATTGTGAAAACTTCAATATCCCCCCCAAAAAAAGCCCCTTTCTTCTACTGTGTGTGTATGTGTAAGAACTTTATGAGATCACCTTCAGTACCAGAAGTTCAAACAATAGGTGCATAATGATTGTCGTCCACAGCCTGGCCAATGTCCAAGAACTCTCTAAATGTACTGCAATACTTTTTCATCTGTACAGGTTTTTGCTGGCTCTAGTAAAGCCAGGAGCAGGGTGATGCTTTAGTACTTTTCAGGTTGTAGCAATTGTATTAATTTTAAGTGGATATTCTGCACTGTACTGTGTCACTAAATCTTTCTCTCTAAGTATGTGTGCGTGTTTTATGGCTTTTTGTGATGATAACAACTGCTACGGAGTACTGTCACCGCTTTTCCATTTTTTGTTTTCTGGAAGCAAGGATCTGGAGGAGGTCTGGAAAGAAGCTCCTTAGTTAAGAAAATAAGAAGAGTCTGCTGTAGCCTAGCATCCTGTTCTCACAGTGACCAACCAGAAGCCTATGGGAAACCCACAAGCAGGATTTGACCTCAAGAGCACTCTCCCCTCCTGCAGTTTCCAGTATTAAGCTGCAGCCTTTGGAGACAATAGCCATTACAGGCACATGGAGGCTTTCATGAACATGGTGCCTCATTTAGATGCTAATGCATGCAGTGAGCCTGTGCCTTCAAATGTGTGTCTGTTTGCTGTCGACAAGTAGAGGATGGGATTTGCTGAGGGAATCATGGTGTTTTAATTACATGGAGAGAAAGGCATTGAGGAGAACTAGAAAAACACAAGGTGGATTCAGAGGCCGCTGTCTCTTTGACCTTGGCAACATAGGGGGAATTGCCAATATTCCTTTGTTAAATCTAGTGGAACAAAGCTTTTGGATTTTTGCTAGCTTGTCAGAGTGACTTGGAAAATGCATTTAATCTCACAAAGTCTCCCCAATCCAAGGCAGGCGTATAGGGCTGGGAAGGAAAAACATCAAGAGCTCTGATGCTTCAAATCACCTCTAATGCTACCACAGCCCGAAGGTTCTGGTTTTCTTTCAGGAAGGGAATGGCGTCCCTCAAAATGCCTGTGTTGCTAATATACATCTCTCTGGATGCTTCCCAAAACGTCTTGTCCTTTTAGATGCCAGCTAAAATAAATGGCAGCCGAGGAAAGGGATTTATTTGTCCCAGTCACGAGTCAGATTCCACAGCTGGAGCACTTTGCCTTGGCAAATGTCGCAAGGACTCAACTCTATTGCTCATGGGTCATTGTCTGCATTGTTAACACATTTATGCTCCCGCTGAATAAACACAATGGGGGAAAACAAAGGACGCGGGTGGCGCTGTGGGTAAAAGCCTCAGCACCTAGGGCTTGCCGATCGAAAGGTCGGCAGTTCGAATCCCCGTGGCGGGGTGCGCTCCCGTTGTTCGGTCCCAGCGCCTGCCAACCTAGCAGTTCGAAAGCACTCCCGGGTGCAAGTAGATAAATAGGGACCGCTTACTAGCGGGAAGGTAAACGGCGTTTCCGTGTGCGGCTCTGGCTCGCCAGAGCAGCGATGTCATGCTGGCCACGTGACCCGGAAGTGTCTCCGGACAGCGCTGGCCCCCGGCCTCTTGAGTGAGATGGGCGCACAACCCTAGAGTCTGTCAAGACTGGCCCGTACGGGCAGGGGTACCTTTACCTTTACCTTTAACAACTGATCTTTATTTAAGGGCATGCTGCACTCCATGAATACTGGAAATCTTATACCCCACAGATCCATGCATTGTACATCATAACAGATGAAGAGCCCAGTTGGATCAAATAAAAATGGCCCATCTTGTCCTGCATCCTGTGGCCCGTCAGATGTCCATGGGAAGCCCACAAGCAAAGCCTGATTGTAGCACTCTCACAACTTGTGATCCTTAACAGACATTGTCTTCAATAGTGCAGTGAGAGCGTAGCTATCATGACTAGTAGCTTTGATTGATTGGTGTTGGCCAGAATCCAAGGATAAATGAAATACTTAAAAGATAGACTGGCTGAAATTTTCAGTGAGCAGGAAAGGTGCTGCTGCTGGTGGTTCAGCCCAGCAGTGGCTAACCACGCTTGCCAAAAGAGCCACAGATGAAATAAAAGATAATGTGAGTCCAGTGCATCCTAAAGTTCTGCATGTCTTGGAATGGCCTACACAGAGCTGTGGAGTAATCAGCAAATTGGTGGAGAGCTAAGAAGGAAGAGGGAATAAGAGGCAGAAGGTATAGATCAGACTCTGTGCCTGTTAGGAGCTGCCAGGGATAGGACCGGGAACCTTTGGTTCTGTGTACAGTGGTACCTCAGGTTACAGACACTTCAGGTTACAGATGCTTCAGGTTACAGACTCCGCTAACCCAGAAATAGTACCCTGGGTTAAGAACTTTGCTTCAGGATGAGAACAGAAATTGCACAGTGGCGGCGCAGCGGCAGCTGCGGGAGGCCCCATTAGCTAAAGTGGTGCTTCAGGTTAAGAACAGTTTCAGGTTAAGAACAGACCTCCGGAACGAATTAAGTTCTTAACCCGAGGTACCACTGTATAGGTGTTCCCTGTGGTGAGCTATCAGTACTCCAGGGCACAATAGTTCGCATCAAAACAAAATATAAATGGAGTGGATAAAACAATAGCAACGTCAGTTGCAGCAATGGTCCAATCTGGCCAAGGCAACTGTCCTCCCCATGGTGGTCTATGGGGGAAAAGATGGGTTTTCAATTGTTGCTGGGAACTTGACATTGTGTCAATCATATTTCAAGTTGGAGGGCATTCTATAGTCGGAGTGTCACCACAAAATAGGCCCTTTCTCTGGTCAATGCATAACTGATTGCCCTTAGAGGACATCAACTGCTGATCTTAGCTCAATGACAGATTGGTATAGGGAGAGATACCCCTTCAGATATCTAGGCCCCAAGTTGCCCAAGGCTTTAAAAGTCATTATTAGCACCTTGGTGGGGCACAATTCCCACTTCAGAAGGCTTTATGGTTCCTTGAGGTCTCTCCTTAAGAATTTTAAATCATTGTAAACCAAGCTTGTTCAGGATTTACCTCAGAAACTTATTCAGGTCTCCATGTTTCATGTACTCAAATACCATTATGAGAGGGTCTCCATCACCACAGACACCATAGAACTTTACAATGTGGTCATGCTGAAGGTTGGTGAGAAGTTCTGCCTCCCTTTGGAAATCCTTTCGGGCGGCCAAAGTTGGGTCCTTCAGGGCCTGAGGGAAAGAGGAGGATACAAAGACAAAATGAGGACGCCAACAAAGGCCACTTTCCTCCTAAGCTTTAAGCCTGTTGAAATTGAGTAAATACAGATTACCACCTATCAAATGGAAGCTTCCTATGATGTGCCGATAACTAGCATATGACGCTCCACAAAGTTGCCCAGAAGGTTGAAATGGTTCCCCACTCCTGATATAGTGGGAAGCGTGGGCACTGTGATCCATTCAGAAACAATGCCAGAAGATCACCAGTTATGAAATTGTATGTGTGTGTGTGTTTGACCCAAGCTCAAATCTCATTGAAGTGGAATTTCCACAAACCCATCTGTGAGAGAGCAGGCAGGTAATAGCTTCCACTTATTTCTAGCTCAGTCAGAATTGGAAAACCATGAACCCAGAATTTGAAACCAATTCTCAATGAGGGGCAGAAAACATCATAGTTCCTTATTACAACTCTCCTGAACTAGTCCACCCATTTACTTTGGAAGAGCTGAATTTGCTGTCTTTTATTCTGTAAATTGATGTGTTGGTGTGTGTGTGTCATCTCTACTGCAATTCACCCCCCCCCAAAAAAATCCTGTTTTCATTCCCTTTGGTTTAAACAGTTTATTGAGAGACTAGGACTCAAATTTGTATTCTTCTTGAAAATGGCTCCTCAACCACACTCATGGTTTGCCATGATTAGGTACTTTTGCCAATTGTGTGCATGGAATTAATACTGGAGTGGCTTTGGGTTTATTTAAGAATTAGTTGAAAGCATATTGCACCTGTGTCTGGAATGTTTCCTCATGAAGGTACAGTTTTCAGCTAAAGATGAATATGCTCTCAGGAATTCTTCATTGAGGATTTCAGTGTAGGGGGAAAGGGAGATATTGATTCAGTCTACATTTTAAAAATACGATAGGTTGACCTAATTCCTTGGTCCCACACTTATATAAAGATTGGAATGCAGCTATTAATCAGTTTATTCACCACTCTGAATTTTTGGTGCATTTTCAAAGAAAATGTGCAGAAAATGAATATTTTAGGAGAACTACACAGAGAAGCATATAAAAATGCATATTTTAGGGGGGGAATACATCACAAAGCATTCACAATACATATTTTCAAGGGAAATGCATTAGATTCATATAAAAATGGTTTGTTTTAGGAGAATACTCACAGAGTGCTATAAAAAGCGTACTTTAGGAGGAGGTACATACAATTTAAACACATTTTTGTGTTCTTTTCTTTTTCCTTTTGCACAAAAGCCAGAATGTAACCAGCTTATAATTGAGCACATGTCAAACTGATATGGATCTAGTCTGATCTGCCCATCCCTAATTCAGTGTCAAATATTCAGCAGATATTTCATACCTGTATTTGACACTGGATGATACTGACTTTAATATGCCATCATAACTCATATCCAACAGTATGTGATTGCGGTCATGTAATTATATTTAGTCTTTTACCATTGAATAGCTGGCAAGCAATGGTACTGAGCATCTGACATTAATCGATAGGTGACGAGTGCCTGAGATCACATCTTTTCCTCTCCATCAGTTGCAATCTGGACCATAGCTCTCACTGACAGAGCTCAGGCTTTACATGAAGAAGGTTCAAAGTTCCATCCTTGGTGCTTCTAGGTAGGCTTGAAAAAAAACTCCTTTCATGAAGCCTGAACAGCTGTTGCCAGTCAGTGTGGACAATAAAGAGCCAGGAAGACCAAAAATTTAAACTTAGGAGCTTCCATTGCTCCTATGATGCTTTTCAATCTTGCCTGCTGCTGACCTGGGCATTGAAAGAAGAAATGGGGGCGATATGGGCCTGGACAGCAGGTGTGGCCCCTGGACTGAAATAATTTGATTGCATTTTGCCACACTGCATAAGGACCTGCCTGAAAGATCCCCTTTGGACTGAAAAGTGAGGCAGTTATTAAATGAATAAAATAATAAGAGTGACATTTTCTTTATCTTCGTTATTATTCTATGCTGACAAAGAGTGAGAGGAACAGGCCACTTTCCTTTGCTCACCACCTCATAAAAGCATGATGTGTGAAAACAGTCTGAATGGAATCTCGGAAAGCATTTGAAGACATAGCAAGAGCTATTGCAGATTGAATCCATCTTACTTGACGTCTCTTCAGAAGTCTGACTCTATTGAGTTAGACTCTGAAAGAAAACCATGTCAAGTTGGTCTCCTTTGCCAAGGTGTGAAGTGTCATACTGTGGAACGGCATTTGACAGAGAAAGTTTTCTCTTTTAAAATAGAGCAGACTTTAAAAAAACACACACACACAACCAAAACCACACAACCCAAACCCCAGAATCCCTGTCTTATCATTCTAACCCACATCTATTCAAAAATCACATAATTTCATTTTAATTTTCCTCCCTTGGGGGACAACCTGACTAGAGACATTTAGATGGATGATTCAGATAGATGATAGTGCAGTGCACAGATGGCAAAACATCCATTCTCATCTTGGGCCCTTGATTACTTTCAGCCATTTAAGATCTTCATGATGTTGTTATCATGCCTTAAGAAATTTAGAGGTGCCTCTTGTATTTTCTTCACAACCCTGTGACACACACACACCCAAATATCCCCCCATGCCCCCATACTATTAGGGGTGGACCAAAACCTTTGGGCTTGCTTTGTGATCCTTTTTCTGAAAAAAGGCCACCTGGCTTTGCTTCACTCATTGCAAACATATATGGGTTGTTTTCACCTCACCTCAAAAGGATATTGTAGAGTTGGAAAAGGTTCAGAAAAGGGCACCCAAAACAAGAAAACGTTGCAGAGTTTGGGACTTTTTAGCCGAGAGGAAAGGCAAGTATGATGTGACATGACAGGAGTTTATGGAATTATGCATGGCATGGGGGAAATAGATGAAGAAACATCCCCCCCCCCTGTGCACAACACAGATTAAAGGAAATCTTCCTTCATGTAGCACATAATGAAACTGTAGAGTTAACTCCTACAGAAAGCAGTGGTGGCCACCAACTTGGATGGCTTTAAAAGTGGATCAGACAAATTCATGGAGGATAAAACTATCAATGGCTACTAGCCATGAAGGCTATGATCTACCTCCACCATCAGTGACATTGAGCCTCTGAATGTCATTTGCTGGGAATTTTGGCTGGGTAGAGTGCTGTTGTACTAATGTCTAGCTTCTGGGTTTCCCATGAGTATCTGATCAGGCACTGTAGGAGCAAGATGGTGGACTGGGTGGGCCATTAGCTTTATCCAGCAGGTTCATCTTGTGTTCTTAGCGTTGTTTGCATATTTAGGCCTAATGCTATAGCCTAGTGTAGCTTAATCCACATGCTGTCTCTGTTGCAAGGAAGGTTTGCTGCTACTATTTTTTTGCTGGCCACAGAGGGTTGATGTCTTCCATTGCTTATTGCTGATTTTAATTATTATAGATTGTTTTTCCAATCCTGTCTTCTTTGTAAGCCATATATGTAGCATTTATTGATTGGCATCTACATAAATTTGATAAATAGTTATAAAATATTGACTCAGAAGTTTTACTGTGAAATTGCTTCAAGATATTTTATGGGAAGTGACTCATAAATGAAATTAAATTTTAGAAGTGGGCATTTTCCATGGTTTCCCCTATAGTTTAGAACACACTTCCCTTTGTGATTCATGAGGCGCCAGAGTAATCTAACAATCACTATTAGAACTGCAGCCCTGTGAGGGAAATAGAAGTCTTCTAGCAACTCTTGATTCTTACCAAACTACAATTCCCATGATGCTTTGGGGAAAGCTATAACTATATAATACTGCTTTAAATGTAAGGTGAGGAAGTGACTTTGCAATGATATTTCAAGGGGATCAGGAGCTGTAGGGATTAGATCCTGGAACCATCAGTTCTGTGAGCAGCTGGGCAACTAAATATCAACTATGGTGACAGGTAAGAGGGTAATAATAATAATAATAATAATAATAATAATAATAATAATAATTTATTATACCCCACCCATCTGGCTGGGTTTCCCCAGCCACTCTGGGCGGCTTCCAACTGAATATTAAAAACAATACAGCATTAGACATTAAAAACTTCCCTAAAGAGGGCTGCCTTCAGAGAGTTGGCCTTTTAAGTCTCTGAACTTGTCTACAAGGCAGGCGGAGCTTGGAGAAAGCAGTCTGGAGACAGGGGCTTTAAAGGCCCCCATCTGCTCCCAACTTTTCAGTTGCTTCCTTGGAGCTGTCCGTGGTCCAGCAGCTTTGTTTTGTAAGAACATAAGAACAGCCTGCTGGTTCAGGCCAATGCTCCATTTAGTCCAGCATCCACCACTCACAATGGCCAACCAGATGCATGGAGGAAGCCAGCGAGCAGGACCGAAAACAAGAGCACTATTCCCTACTGTGGTTTCCAGAAAATGGAATTTTAAAGCATTTCTGCCTCCAGCTGCAGAGGCAGAGCAGGTAAAAAGGTAAAGGTAAATGACCCCTGGATGGTTAGGTCCAGTCAAAGGTGACGATGGGCTTGTGGTGGTCATCTCGCTTCAGGCCGAGGGAGCTGGTGTTTGTCCACAGACAGCTTTCCCGGTCCAGCATGACTAAATCGCTTATGGCGCAACAGAACACTGTGATGGAAACCAGAGCACTTGGAAGTGCCATATACCTTCCCACCACAGCAGTACCTATTTATCAACTTGCACTGGTATGCTTTCAAACTGCTAGGTTTGCAGAAACTGGGACAGAGCAGAGCAACCCCATCAGGCGGATTTGAACTGCCGACCTTCCGATCAGCAAGCCTAAGAGGCTCAGTGGTTTAGACCACAACACCACCCTCTTCCCTAGATCAGTGGTGGTGAACCTTTTAGAGACCAGTTACGGGTAGGTAGCTGTGTTGGTCTGCCGTAGTCGAAACAAAATTTAAAAAATCCTTCCAGTAGCACCCTAGAGACCAACTAAGTTTGTTATTGGTATGAGCTTTCGTGTGCATGCACACAATCTGAAGAAGTGTATCTAAAGAAGGTATCTGAAGAAGAGACCGAGTGCCCAAACTGCAACCCAAAACCCATTTATTTATCGCAAAGTGCCAACACAGCAATTTAACCTGTAGATCTCATTTTTTCCTGTGTGTTTCATGCCACTTTATGACTTTTATTGTAATAAATAATCCTTCATAAAAGTTATTGCATTACATTCTTCATTAAATTATCTTTCCATCGATATATAATTTTATGGTATAACTCAGTGCTTTTTTCCTTAAAAAATATTTAGGGTTACTCTCATTTTGACTCAAGAAAATCACCATCGGGAAAAACAAATGCAGTTCAAATCAGGAAAAATAAATACAGTGAATTTCTTCTTCCATTAAATTCACAAAATGTTTAGGGGTATGTGTCCCCACAGAAAAAAAGCACTGGTATTACTCAAAAAAAAGTGGTGTTATCAAACCTTGGAAATACACTTTTTCCAGAAGGTTCCACCATTTTTCCAGAAGGTTCCACCATTTTGGCCACTACACTAGTGTACACTGGAGGGCTGTATTAAGAGCCACCTTCTCCCAATTTTTAATTTGGGATAATAATTATTGTCTGTATGTGCATATACAAATACACACACACCTATCATATATACCGTATATATATGTGTGTGTGTGTGTGTGTGTGTGTGTACACACACACACACACACACACACACACACACATATACATATTCCCCTCAAGAAAGAAGGCTTGAGCTTCATCATGAGCCCTGTCTTTGCTTCAGATGCCAAGGAAATAAACAACTATCTGACTTTTAGAAGATATCTGAAGGCAGCCCTGTTCGAGGAAGTTTTTAACATTTGAAGTCCCCCCCCCCCGTAAGATGAACCGCTGCAGTGAATCCTTAATAGGAGACTAGCCAGAATAACTCTGTAGCACCTGATACTTCCAACTGTCTTCCAAGCAGCTACAAATGCAGCTTCTACTTATGTGTGGAATTTTCATTCTCAGCAATTCAGAGCCTGGGTGTCCTTGGGATTTACCTTCACAGCCACGAGCATCTTGTCCTTGGTGGGGCTGAGGTTGTAGCACTCAGCCAGGAACACCTTCCCGAAAGCACCTTCGCCAAGCTCCCTCTTCAGAATGATGTCTCTCCTCTTAATATGCTGTACATCTGTAGGCAGCAAGGGGCAGGAGGGAGGGGAACCAGGAATTAATGTTAATGCAATAAATGATTTCATTTTCATCACCCGGCAGGCTCTCATTAATTTTCATTTGCAAAAAAAGATGACCCTTTTGTTTCACTGTATTTGCAAAGTCTTGCCTGTTTATCTCTCACTCTCCAGCTTTGCAAGGGAGGCAGAACTTTACTAACTACCCTCAACAGCAGGGACATCCCACATTGTTAAGATGCCCCATCTACTATAAGTGCTTTGCAATTTAGAGACAGCCAGTCCTCTTCACTGAAGGCGGCTGGACTAGTGAATTTGTCTCCATTTGATTGATCATGCTTTGTTCTCAAAACTACCCTCCCATCTTTTCTAGCTGGGGGTGGAGGATTGCTTAGGAAGGTCAAAACCAAGTGAAAGTGAACAGTGGACAGGATTGGGTAATTTCAGGCCCCTGTCCTTTTCTGCCCTTGAGATTCTCCCCATTCTCCATCCTGTTACTGGCCTTGCTTTGCACCGGCCTTGAGTTATTTTGCCTGGGTGGAACCTGTCACTCAGCATGTGTCCTTGAGTGTCTCTTTCTTGGCTAGATGGAGGAGAGAGTGGTGTGTGTGTGTGTGTGTGTGTGTGTGTGTGTGTGTGTAGAAACTAGCCTACTGTTCAAACCCAACATCCATCGCTCCACCCACATTTTCCTCTGGCCCGGCCCACCGCTGGCAAGTGGCCCTTGGAAGGTCTCCTGGAAGAGAATGTGGCCTTCAGACTGAACAAATGTTCCTTAACCCTGCACTCGTGGCTAAATTATGAAGGGCAGGCAAGCAAAAGTTGCAGCTCATCAAGTCAAGTTCTGCCATTATATTGCATCCTGACTTGTGCTTGTCAGCATGTCTGCTTGTGAAATTGTAGGTCAGGCCCCCACAAGAAACCACCCATGAAATTATTCACACCCCACCCCCACTGCTGTGTTTTATATTTCAAGTGGACTGTGCCTGTCTTGGTGGCTCCTGAGATGCGAGAGAACAGAGAAAATGACAGAATGAGAAAAGGTCAGCTTACTACTGATGCTTATAATAGCAACACGTTGTTGCTTTTTAACATCAATTCATCAAAAAGTAACTCATCTTCATTTGGGGGGAGGGAATGGAGAGACATAGGCACCTCTTTCCTTATGAGAAAGCCAAAGGTTTGGAAACAGAACATCTTAATGGCTCTCAAACAATTAAGCCTGCTAATTAGAAGATTACGGGCTGGCATAAAAGCTACCAAGTCTAGACATCTTTGCTTGTTTGAGGAGAGTGATGGTGCCTGTTTGCATAACCAACAGTCCTCAAAATGGCTGATGGTGCTTCAGAGAATTCGCAATGACCTTTTCATTAATTGTTTAATGGGCAACATAAATAAATAAAAGCATATACTGAAATTAGCAATATTAGTGATATTAAGGCACTGTGTGGTAGCCAGAATGAGGGATAAATGAAACCTACTGGGGGAATCCCGTGTTTCTGTTCTGATCTTCAGCAGAACATTTAGCAAAATTCTCCAATGTTTCCATGCGTGGGTATCTGCCCACTGTTGTAATGCATCATAGGTTCTGTAGATTTTATGGTATACCACAACTCCATTTCAAACACACACACATGAATTTCAAGGAGAATTGCATTTGGTAGATCTTTTGGTCCTGGAACAGCAGAGTCACCCTGTAACTAACAAGCTGCTGCCCTTGTGAATTCAATAGTTCTTTTTCCCTTTAGAGCTAGTCTACACAAGCAGCAGATTGTGTAGGAAGAGAAAAGTGCGACTTCAGACTGTAAACAGGGCCAAATAATTGTATTTTTGTGTGTGTAAAAAACCCCACAGCAAAACAAGAAACTTTCCTGCACACTGAAGACTTTGTGTCAGGAAGGCGCGAAACTTGTGTTTGGGTATGGATTGTGTTTGCTTGCTTGAGTGCTGGAAAATCAAAGATGTGGCCATTCAATCTGAAATCTGGTGTTATATGGGAACACTCTTAGCATGTGATTTTGTTATTTTCGTAGCACTTACACCATAGGAATCTGAGCAGCTCGTTTTTCCAGTCATGCCGGAGATATTATTAATGGGGCCGTTTTATGAAAGCTATTTTGTTTGCAATCAATAAAGACACAATCAGAGCTCGGCTTTGTCATCCCAGCTTCCAGCATGGCCTACTCACCTGGTTATCTCACTGGAAATAAATAAATAAATAAAACGGGACAGCACGTTATGGAGCATCCCGGAGGCTTCACTTAATCCAAAGTCACACAAATGAGCAGAAATGTTTGCCATCCATCAAGATCGGTCCCTTGGGGAGCGCTGACTGAGGCACAGCTGAGCCTAATGCAAGCCTCTCGCTGCTGCAAACTCTTGAGCCTTCATAGGGTCCCTGGCAGGTCAATTATAGCCTACTGGGTCATGGTTTGGCAATGATGATTATCATCTGCAGTTCTGAAGCTAAGATGGTGTGTGGTGTGTGTGTGTGTACTATACCACCCTTCCCCCATAGATCTCAAGGCAGTTCACAACATAAAAATACAAATAAAAGTTCAAAATGCATAATAAAAACCAGAACAAAACAACAACACCACTGGCGGAGGAAGAAAGGGGCAGGGGGAGCACACTGCCCCTGGCACCACAATCCCGGTGGGGTGCCATCGTGGGTGCCCCCCATGCGCTGGGCATCAAGCCCCCAGAATGCGCACCATGCCCCTGTGGGCGGCGCGCCACACCCCCAGGATGCACACCACACCCCCTGGGATGCACGCCAGCCATGCCCCCACTGCTCTCTGCCCCAGGTGCCAGACCATGAAGCTCCGCCACTGAACAACACATACCAATAACCCCACCCCTTTCCAAAAACACATTTAAAAGGGTAAAGGATGTAAAAGATGTAAAAGTCCATTCTGCTGCAAATCTAGAATGCTGCTTTAAAGGGAACCATTGCTTCATCTCGCTCAGTACTGTCTACACTGAGTGCATTTATTCAGTTTTAATTTTTATTTTAAAAAAAATATTTTTTTAATGATTTGGTGCACTTCAGTTACCCCACGCCAATGCTTTTGCACTTATCGGAAGATAGGAACAAATAGGCAAATCTGTCCATTTTGGTTTCTCATTTTTCCACTTTTAACTTCAGTCCTCATTTCAACATCATTTAAATAATAATAATCACACACATTCTCATCAGCAGGGTACTGCTAATTTTTCCTATATACACGTTTGCATGCAATACTCCCTAATGCAACACATCTCTGTTCAATATCTTCACTGATATATGCATATTATTGTGTATTTTTGTGCCTATTACTTGGCTGGAAAACTGCCTAGCAAAATTTGAGGTTTTGAAAGACAACTGTGTTCATGTATTGTTTCCGAGAGCTCAAATTAGTTAGATTCGCCCTTAAATGTGAACTGAGTCAAATCACCCTCCCATCCCATGTCCACCGCTTCTCCGCTAGCCCATCTTCAGCTTTCCTCGTGAATAATAAGGCTGACACCCAGGAGATTCTGTTGTGAGGGCACTTGGGAGGTTAATCTGCATAAAGCTATTTACAGTCTCCTGGCATGCACAGAATGGTGCTTGATAAACAGCTGCTGTTTGTTGTTGGAAGAAGATGTCAGGTGTTCTAAGCCTAGTTGTCTGGCTCCATTGGGTTGCGGTCAGCCTTACTAACAAGGTGTCTGCAAATTGCCATCCCTTCCTCTGCCCCTTGTCCTCCCCAGCTCCTCCACACATCATTAATTGACACCAACAGGAGCCAACAAGATAATTCTAGGAAGGATTGTGGACAACAGACTGCAAGCACAGCAGGGAAGGGTGGGGGGGGAGAGAAAGCATTTTAACTCATTGTAAAAGAGGCTCTGTTGTTGCACAGTCAAATACAGGAAGCTGACTTGGACTGAGTCAAGCCATTGCTCCATCTAGCTCAGCAATGTTGACACTAAGGGTGCTGCTAGGAGTTGTCATGAGACTACTGTTCCATCACAGAACTACAATTCCCAGAATTCCCTGGGAAGAGGGATCCACTGGTCAATCACTCTGAGAACTGTAGACCTATGAAGGGAATGGGGTCTCCTAAACAACTCTCAGGGCCTTTTAACAAAGTATGCTTCCCAGGTTTCTTTGGGGGAAGCTATAAAGTGACATGACACTGCTTTAAATGCACAGTTTTTTAAGCACAAAGTATGCCATCAGAGGCCTTCAGAACCTCATTGTTTGCAGAAATGATGGGTGGGGGCTTTAAAGGTGAGAACCTCAAAACAGCCCAATGTAGACAGAGCATGTTGAGTGAGTACAGAATATTGGCTGACTGTTTGAGGAAGAGAAACCAGTGAAACTGAGAGGAAGGGGGAATGAAGGGCATTATTTTGTTGCAGATTCCTCTTATGAAATAAACAAGACAAATGATGGTGGTGGTTGATAGAGTGCTGGATCCTGGAAAGCAGGGTTCAAATCCACATTTAGCTATGAAGCTCCCTGTCTCTCTCTTGCTAACCTACTTCACAGGGTTGTTGTGAAGATAAAATAAGGAGGAAGCAAACCATGTGCACTACCTTGAGCACCTTGGGGGAAAAGTTGGGAAATAAATTAAATGTAATTAAAATAAGCAATCAAGAGCCCATGAGGGAATCTTTTACAACAACAACAACCTAGACCACTAGGGTGAATTATTGGTTCCCGTTCTCCTAGTTCTCTCATTGCAGTGAGATTTTCAATACAGTGGTACCTCGGGGTACATACGCTTCAGGTTACAGACTCCGCTAACCCAGAAATAGTACCTTGAGTTAAGAACTTTGCTTCAGGATGTGAACAGAAATCATGCTCTGGCAGTGCTGCTGCAGCAGGAGGCCCCATTAGCTAAAGTGGTGCTTCAGGTTAAGAACAGTTTCCGGTTAAGAACAGACCTCTGGAACAAATTAAGTACTTAACCTGAGGTACCACTGTATAAGCATATTAAATATTATGCCCCTCCCCCATACAATCTGAAAT